AACTTTTTTCACTCACCCAGGTATATATACCTGTTCTGCTCGAGGGGTCTGGATGAATGAAGTACTGGGGAGAAGCCTGTCTACCTGCCTTCCAGGTACCTCACCCTTCAGATCCTCTGCCCAAGGTCTCCCATCCAAGGCCCTAGGGGTCCAGGTGCTCTGACTATTAATACAAAGTGGGGGAGGGGCGGGAAATGATGGTTGATTGTTTTTTAAGAGATGTCTTCAGGATGTTAAAGGCCAGATAAGCCAGCTTCAGATCTTCTCAAACCAATCAGCCTCTCTATTCAGCCTGCTCTAACACCGCAGCCCCCCCACCCCGTCCACTGCCACACCCTTCCCACCAGGTTTTCCATCCAACACAGTTTGTGTGTGCACCGCTGTTGTGCCAAGGAAATCATGGAAGTGGACACCCTGTCCTCAAGCACTCACTGTGCTATAAAGGAGAGGACAATGAAAGACAAATGACAACTACAGGACAGAGTAGGAAGTTCTTCCAAAAAGCAATGTGTTCAAGTCTTTCTGACTCCTGCCTTCCCTATGGTTTACCTACTGACCCCACTTTAAAATGAAAGGAGAATTTTGTGGTCCCAGAAAATGTCATTGACTTTGGGACCATTTGCTTTATTTAGCATCAAAAGTAATGGATTGCAATAACAATGTATACATATTCAAATCGACTTAGAAAATTATAGCACCAAAATGCACACAGTAGGGTTAAAACATAACCCACAGAAATTAAATTTGATATTCACATCACAGTAATTTATACTTTTTTTTTTAAAAAAAGCAAGAATAGCAGTAATTAAATGACATAACCATTCAAGACAGCACTGAGGAACCTGAAAATTAACTGTCCTTCCTGATTCTATCTGCATATTTGCATGAACAGCAGAATCTCTGCGGGATGGTTAAGCATTGGGTAGCATTTGTATTTTACTGAATTAGAGTGTTGGGTAAACTGAGATAGTGCATTGTATTAATGGTACATTTTAGTAACTCTCAATGTTCAGTCAGTAGGTTTCTAGATATTAGATTAGACATTAACATGGAAAGGCTACAGAGTTGTCTACCACTAATCCTTAAGAAGTAAAGAATGTGTTAGCACTCGGGAGTCAGTTCTTGGCCATCACGGGCACTGTGGGATCCCAGAGAAGGAAGAAGTAACTGTGCATGGTTGTCCCGGAGTAGAGGGGTGAGGACCAGCTAGGAAGACTTCACATAAGAGGTCTTTATGCCTGAGAAGAAATTTGTGAGGAGATGGAAGAAGGGATAGTCATCACACCCATACTCTGCTGATCCCAGTCACCTCAATTAGGTGGGAGTCAGCTCTTGGCCATCACGGGCACTGTGGGATCCCAGAGAAGGAAGAAGTAACTGTGCATGGTTGTCCAGGAGTAGAGGGGTGAGGACCAGCTAGGAAGACTTCACATAAGAGGTCTTTATGCCTGAGAAGAAATTTGTGAGATGGAAGAAGGGATAGTCATCACACCCATACTCTGCTGATCCCAGTCACCTCAATTAGGCTTGGCCAGGAACACACCCAAGAACTCCAGGTGGTCAAGCCTCAAAAGAGAGAGGAGTGGTGGGGCTGTGGAAAACTGGAGGTTCAAATCTTCATTTTGCTAAAAGACGATGGGAGCCAAAGAATACTAGGGGTGGATTCCATCCTGGGAAGCCGCTGCAAACTCTGGGAGGGAAGATGAACTGGGCTGGGGGTCAGGGTCTGGGTCCAGTCCTGGTGCTGCTGCTTTCTAACTGTGATCTTTGGTAAGTAATCATACCTCTCTGGGGCTGGGATTCCACACCTCAGAAGTGAGGGAGCAGGACTGGGAGATCCACGACATTCTCTGACTCTTAACAGTCATCATCTTCTATGTTTATACAAAGCATCTTGGATATAATGAGTCATAAAATTATTTTAACACCTGATGTTGGGCAGAACCATGGTGTATCATTGAACTAGGCCAGAGATTTCTAAATTCCCTCCTCCCAAAACAGTGAGGTTGAACTGAGATGCAAGCCAGGACGGTAAAGCCATTTCATACAGCATAATAATGTCCACCCTTCCGGGAAGCCTGCTAAGCAAATGTTATTTGCCCGTTATTGTACAGAGGAGAAAACTACTGGTCATAATGGTATAGTGAGTTGTGCAAGGCTACCCCAGAGACTTAGGGCAGAGCTGCAAGGTGAACCCAAGACTCTGATGTCAACATAAGCAGTGCCGAGCCACTCTTTAACAATGGTCATGTTTTATGCAATCCTCATCCTAGAGTATCACGTTTTTGTTTTAAGGACAATCTCTCAGTACCCACTGTCTTCTAGAGCCCAAATCTGGCTTCAGCACAGTCAAAGCTGTAACATTTCGAGAAGATCCCTTTGTCCCAGGAAAAACTGGGTGGGGAATGAATAGCAGCATCCCATAAGAATGACCCCACTTCCATGAGCTCTCCCAAAGGCTTGTTGCATCATTCAACCTCTTGAAAGGACAAGAGCACATCAAGAAGAAAAACAGATTTTAGTGAAAAAAGAAGCTAGAGTCAGGAGAAAAGGGTTCCACTTCTGTCTCTGCCAATAACAATTTTGAGTAAGTCACTTGCCTTCTCTGAACCACTGCTTTTCCATCTGTAAATTAACCATTCTCCAAGGTTCCTCCAGCTCTGACCTTCCCTGATCTGGAGTGTGCCACTGGCTCCTTGGTTAGAGAAAGGTATCATTCAGTGCTGGCTTTGTTGTGACCATGGACTGAGCCCCAGACATGTCCCTCACCAGATGAGGGCCCTGCAGCACTAAATGAGGAGTTATGCAGGGCTGGTCACAGACCTGCCTTGAGATGCTGCCTTATGGGCTGCTGCTTATAATCAAGAGGCTGGCCCCAACTTGGAAAGGCCAGGCCACAGAGAATTACAAAGGCCAGTTCACATCTGGCCTGGGGTGAATGACAGGGTGCCCCAGGATCATGCAAGAAGCATTTGGCATCATGAAGAACATCTGAAAAGCATTAGGTTGCCGAAAGACTGCCCTCCCAAAGCTGCCAAGAAAACTCAAATGCTCCTTGGTCTCTAAAGGATTGTTGAAAGTGTTTGGGGCCGAGGAGTATAGCCTGGCCATTTGCAACCAGGAGGAGGTCCACACTCACACCAGGCTTACCTCCTGGCCCAAGCACCCTGCCTGGGAAGAGCCCATGTGAGCTCGTTCTTAACCAGCGGGAGCTGGTCCTGAAGACCCTCTGCTCAAGAGCCAGAGGCATTTGGCCACAGAAAACTGGTGGTGCATGTGCATGCTCAGGGTGCAGCTCAGTGAAAAGAAGTTTGCTCAGACCTTTCTCCTTCCCCTGAAGGTACTACAGGGCTCCTGGGTGCAATGATGGGTGACCCAGAGCAGGGCCCATGCATCATTGCTTGTAGATTACGCCACCTTTCCCCAACCCTAGATGCCCTAGGCCTATGCATGGGCATCAGTTTCCAGCATGAATCCTTTAGGCCAGAGAAGAAAAGGTTTTAGGGCTTGTGATTGTGGTCTTACGTAACAAGGCAGGATGAGATACAGGTAAAGATATCAGTCTTAGAATCTAGTTTAGCCCCTGCTACTCGGCTTGATAGCTATGTCACCTTGGGCTAGTCACCTATAAAATTGGGGTGGCTGGGGCAAATGAAATAAAAATCAAAGGCATTTGAAATTTGAAGGATCCTTGAAGATTATTTTGACCAACTGCTTCATTTGGCAGATCAAAAATTGAAATCCAGAGAGAGAAATTTACTGACTCAGAGTCATATGGGAAATAGAAGAGAAAAGCCAGGTTAAGGCCCCAGATGTCTTGGTTCCCAGTCCAGGGTTTGCTGTGATCTGCTAGATGGGCTTTTAGGTTCCTTCCATCTCTCTATGACTGTGATCTATGGTTTTCAGAAGTTTTCTAACTGTCCACAGCATGGACCACGTCTGGGACATAAGATCCCTTTCTAGAGAAGAAAGGGGAGAAGCGACCACTGTTAGGGATAGGTCTGGCTAAACATGGTCCAGGCCAAAAGGGGTCTTAGCCAGAGGTGGTCCAGGATGGAGAAGGCCCAGAGATGGACCCAGCTCAGAAAGCCCAGACTGGAGATGGGCCAGCCCAGAGAGACTTACACCCAAAATGGCCCTGGGCAGAGCACCCCCCAGCAAGCATGACCAAGGCAGGCCAGGGTCCCATGGTGGCGTAATCTACAGGGGGTGAGATGTGAATTTCTCTTAGTGGCTTTTTTCATATGACTGCTCTGACCAGTATCTGTCTCTTGTCCCTGCTCCCTCCTTCTGCTTACAGTGTGTGGTCAGCCCTCCCGCTCCCTGCCAAACCTGGTCAAGCGGATCATCGGGGGCCGGAATGCTGAGCCTGGACTCTTCCCGTGGCAGGCCCTAATAGTGGTGGAGGATACCTCGAGGGTGCCAAACGACAAGTGGTTTGGGAGTGGGGCCCTGCTCTCTGAGTCCTGGATCCTCACAGCAGCTCATGTGCTGCGCTCCCAGCGCAGGGACAACACGGTGATACCGGTCTTCAAGGAGCATGTCACTGTCTATCTGGGCCTGCACGATGTCCGGGACAAATCGGGGGCTGTCAACAGCTCAGCTGCCCGTGTGGTTCTCCACCCAGACTTCAATATCCAGAACTATAACCATGACATAGCCTTGGTGAAGCTGCAGGAGCCCGTGCCGCTGGGACCCCATGTCATTCCCATCTGCCTGCCAAGGCCCGAGACCGAAGGCCCGGCCCCCCACATGCTGGGTCTAGTGGCCGGCTGGGGCATATCTAACCCCAATGTGACGGTGGATGAGATCATCAGCAGCGGCACACGGACCTTGTCAGATGTCCTGCAGTACGTCAAGCTACCTGTGGTGCCACATGCCGAGTGCAAAACCAGCTATGAGTCCCGCTCAGGCAACTATAGCGTCACAGAGAATATGTTCTGTGCTGGCTACTATGAGGGCGGCAAGGACACGTGCCTTGGAGATAGCGGTGGGGCCTTTGTCATCCTTGATGACTTGAGCCAGCACTGGGTGGCCCAAGGCCTGGTGTCCTGGGGGGGCCCTGAAGAATGTGGCAGCAAGCAGGTCTATGGAGTCTACACGAAGGTCTCCAACTACGTGGACTGGGTGTGGGAGCAGATGGGCTCCCCACAAGGTCTGGGGGAGCTACAGGTGGAGCGGTGAGCTGAAAGATTTCTCCAGAGCCTGCCTACCCCACCCCAGCCTGAGTGAGGCTACTCCACACACTTCTGACAGCACACTCCATGTTACTTACCAGACCACATGGGATGGAACACATTGACCTAGCAGGGTGCATCCTCCCCAGACAGCCCCCGGGACCCTGAGAGGCAGCTGTGTGGCACAGAGAAAAGGCTCCAGGCAAGAGACCTGGTCTGTGACCTTGGCCAAGTCCTTTCTCCTCTCTGGGCCTCACTTTCCCCAGCAATATGGTGAGAGAACTGGACCAGAGTGCCTCCAGGCCAACCCCAACACTCCTCTCCAGGCTGTGCATTACCCCAGTGGCCTTTATTCACTCCTAATCTCTTATCAAGCCCATCAGTCCACTACTGGTGTAACTGAGCTTGGACCTGATTATTGCAAAATGGTTCCTTAGGTTGAACTAAACTCTGCATCTATATATTTTCGCAGCTCTTCCCTCTATGCCTAGACCAAGTCTATTCCCTCCTCTAGGATAAAACTATTCAGGTTTGGGGGGAAAGGGATCATAGCCTAGACACCCCTCCTAGTGTAATGCCTTGGAGCACCTTCATCCCTGGGGTTTCTTTCCCTAAAGCTTCTTGCAGTCCAAGCCGTATCTCTTATGTTCCCTGTTAAAGGAATTTCAAAGGACAAAGAGAACGCTAGGAAGGTTTGTGGTGACTGGGTGGAAGAGAGCAGCAGTGGGAAACTCCCCAAACTCCTTAAATTCCTACTGTCAACTCAGAGCACATCATCTGGGCCCATATGCCACTCTCAGATGCCACACCTGTGGGGTAGCCACACCTGCTGCTCCAGAAAGCACAAAGCGACCTTCCAGCCTTGAAATGCATCATCTAAAAAGACTACCTGAACCCCAGCCCCAAATGTGGTGAGTTGGCCAATTACTTGGAAAAAGAGGAGAACCATACTATGTCCCACTGTGCTTTGGGGCAGAAAAATGGAAGAAAGGGCTCGGGACATTAAGAGTCACCCAAATCCTACTGGGTTGCCCAGAGTCCCTGAGGCCTGAGCTTGGCAGAGAATCCACTAAGCAGGATGTTCAGAGGGATCCACTCCTCTGTTTTCCACGGGTTAGAGGTCAAGGGAAGCAGAGACTCACTGTGACAGGCAGTGACAAGAGATGGAGAGCCAAGAGTCCTGGTTCTATCCTGTCTCTGACCTCAAATGGCTGTATAATCTTTGACAAATCATTTTCTTTCTTGAGCCTCAGTTTCCCCATCTGTAAGAGGAAGGCATAAAATCTCCCTCAGATTCCTTCCAGCACTACCACTCAGCACTTCCTTGATTGCCAGCAACATCTCCCTGACCCTTCCAGGCTGATTGTCCTCCTCCCCAGAGCTCTTTCCTGGGAATCTCCACCAGAGAAAGGTGTCAGAGAAGCCCCTAATAGGGGTTCCAAGAGAACAACTGGGAAGTGTCCACTTTTCCAGCTGGCTCATCAAAGCACACTCCTATGTCTATGAATGGCACATGTTGAAGATGCTATATTTGGATCTTTTATATCACACGCTTCACTACTTTGTAAGGTGCCTCTGCACTCTGTTTCTCCTGTCAGGGGTCTAAAGTGGAAATAAACCCTCTGTGAATAACCAACAGCTTTAGTTTGGGGATTTGGGTTATTGTCATTGAAGTGTGCTCATTTGTTTTTGAAAAGAAATCGACATCCTCATTAAGCCAAAATCTCCCTGTAACAGAAAAAGTACAACTTTTGGTCCTGGACATCGTCCAAGAAGGGGTAATGAGGAAAGGAGTGGGTTACTGATATGTTTCCTTCTTGGAGGCTACACGTTCCTTCATTTAAGTGCCTGCCATTTAAGTCCCTGACTTCAAAGAGCTCAAACTAGCATGCAAGACAAACTCTGTGCATATAGGTCTTACTACAGGCAAAAGGAGATAAACGTCATAAGAGGAATAGAGACTTAAGTATTATGCGAACTTGAAGGAGGGAGCAATTTCATACAGTTTGAGGGGATCAGAACACTGCAGAGCCTTCAAAGGATGCACTGGGAGATGGGAGGGAAGGAGCAGAATGGACAAAGGTATCAAAGCAGGAAAGTGGGCCACAATTGGAGTGGGAGCAGTGGGCGCTGGCAGAGGGGAAGAGTCGTAGCCTTGCTCTGTCCTGTAACCAGTGATTCTCTAGGTTTGGGATATATCAGAATCAACTGAGGTGCTCGTAAAAATGAGAACTGCTGGGTTTTATCCAAAGGAAGTTCTGAATCAGCAGGTCTCAGGGTAGGCAACGTGGTATGGAAAGTTGAGGGGGAAGGGGCTGAGCTAGGGAGAGCTGTCGGGAAGTTTCTGCAACAGTCCCGTCCTGGTGAGAGGCGGTGCAGACCGAGCAGATCTTGGGCTGTGACTGTGCAGGCGTGGGGTGGGGACAGTCTAAATCTGTTTCAGTGGTATATTCTATGAGGCTTGGCATCTCTTAAGACAGTGCAAGCATGGAGGTGCAGCTAACCTGATAGTGAGGGCTCTCCATGGGACATTTGGTTTGTATCATAATGAAAATAGCATGCTTTTTTACACTACTGGGAACAAAGAGAATCCTAAATTATGCTTTATACTTTATATGTTGCTGGTTTCAAAAACTACCATGTCTGGTGTTCTACTACATTTCTGATTTTGATTTTCCTCTAGGTACTTGGACTTTATGTTGTGACATAGTGAGGCACTGAGATGTTATGAGGTTACATGGAGAGGAACAGCGCTGTGACTTGGAGTGGGGGAGATACATTACTCTACTTCTCCTAGGGATTTACCTGCAGCTTAGTGACTGACTGAATCTGGGGGTTGAAGAAAAAAAGGCAGTAAGGATATGGTTGGTGCAGATGTCATAAAAAGGAATAACAAGGGGGAGAAGGCTTGTGAAGGTGGAGACCAGAGCTTGCTTTCACTGTGTTTGAAGAGTTTGTGAGCAGTCCAGCTGGACATGTTAAGGAGGCAATAAAGAATAGTGAATTTCAGAGGAGAAGGCAGATTTAAAGACACTGATTTGAAATTTGTCAGCATATAGGAGGTATAATGGCATGGAGATAGAGGGTGTCTTCTATTGGAAATCTAAAAAGAAAAGGGGGCCAAGGGCTGAACAAGGGAAACACTAGCATGGAAGTCATAAAGGAAAGAGAAGCCCCAAGAAAGAAACAGAGAAGAAAAAAAGAAAAATGCCTCAGAAGCTAAGGAGGGAAAATTGTCAAGAGGGATAAAGTAGTCAACCATGTCCAATGCCACTTGTGAGTCCAGTGAATGCGTCCAGGACAGGAGTTCCCCAGTACAGGGACCAAGTCTTCATCACCATCTCTGAGGGACTATCTGGGAAGCAGGCTCTGTGCTTGTGTTCAAAGTCCCTAACACCCCTCTCTCCCTCCTCTCTCTTGCTCCAGCCTTCTCATTCTGCCCAAGAAGGGCTTTTAACTCTTTCCTGAGAGGCAGGAAACTGCCCTTTCATCCTCCTTTCCTGTGACTGACAGTAAAAATTATATGCTCAATTCTCCAGGTTTCCATTCCTTGAAACTTACAAATCTTTTATTCTTACCACAAAGCCTTACTCATCAAATAAAAGTCTGTATTTCCAGACTTTGGTTTCTGCTTTGCTCTCAAAAGTCAAAGCTATGTCTAGCCTTTACTTAAAACAATGGATGCTGCAACTTCAATGGTTGGGGAGCCATGCGGAAAGGAGATTTTTCATCCTAGTGATGAAAAATACATCAAATAAAAAATTTTAAATAGGGTCCACCTATATATGTAAAAATCACTGTTGAAGTTCGATTTATGGTCCTGGAGACACTCTATCTCTATTTATGATTGTAGGTCTATTAAATATTCAAATGGACACTTTATTTCCAAGTTTATGTAATGCATGGCACTTTCTTTTTCCAAATCCAACTCCAAAAAAAAAAAAAGGATGCATCTCTTCTTTGCAGAAACTTGACTATAGAAGGAGAGACTGTGGAATGAAGTGGAAGCAGGGAAATGAAAGCTATTTTTTAAGATGAGTGGCTTGACCATGTTTTGGAGGCATAGGAGGAGAAATGAAAAATACTGGAGAGGAAGTGAGAATCCCCAAGGCCGGGTCCCCAGGAGTTTAGAAGTGAGGTGATCCAGTGTACAGAATTAACTCTGAAGAGAGGAAGGTTTACAGGAAGAGGAGATGGGGAAGAGAATGGTTTGGAAGTTCCCACCCAATGAGCTCTGAGCATCTACTGGGAATGGGGATATTAGCTTGGGGCAGCTGGCTGAGGACACATCAAATGATGCAGGGAGATGTTGAGGATGCAGTCCAGGTTGCAATGCATTTATCTGTGATTTTTCTCCAGCCTGGTGACAGCTACAAAGGTGGCAGATGAGTGCTTGGATCCAGGGACTAGGGGTATGAGGGCTCTGGAAAGCCTCATAGTTAAGAGTTAGTGGTACTGGCAAGAGGAGGGAAAGCCCAGAGTTGGGAGTCAGGAGATCCAGAATTAGAGTCTTGCTACTAACTCATAGAATTCTTCTGGCGAGTCAATTCCCTTCTCTAGGCCTTGGTTTCTTTAGCTGTATGTCGAGAGGGATAGACTAGGTGGTCTCTATTCAGCTGTAATCTGTATATGTTCATCCATTCAGGTTGCTGTAACAGAATACCTGAGACTGGGTAATTTATAAAGAAAAGAGGTTTACATGGTTTACCATTCTGGAGGCAGGAAAGTACAAGAATCATGGCACTGGCATCTGCTCGGCTTCTGGTGAGGGTCACCTGGCTTTGTCATAACAAGGTGGAAGGTCAAAGGGGAAGCAGACACGTACAAAGGGGCAAATGCCAGGAGGACCTCACTTTATAATGACCTGCTCTTGCAGTAACTAATCCATTCCTGGGAGATCTAATCCAGTCTCCGAGAGCGAGAACTCATTACTACCATGAGACGGGTACCAAGCTGCCCATGAAGGCAGAGCCCCCATGACCCACCTGCCTCTCATTAAGCCCAATTTCTTAAAGGTTTCACCTTCCAACATCACCTCCCTGTGGACCAAGCCTCAGCGCGAGCTTTGGTGGAGACAAATCATATTGAAACCTTAGCTCTGTGTGTGTGTGTGTGTGTACGTGTGCGTGTGCGTGTGCGTGTGCGTGTGTGTGTGTGTGTGTGTGTGTGTGTGTGTGTGTATCACATCTACTGACTTGGAAAATGGGATGGAGCAGGTGGATACTGGTTGTGGGGTCTCCAACCCCACAGGACCCTGAGAAAGGGTCTCTCCAAGGAGAAGAGATCCCTGAAGATAAAGCATGAGGATTCTTAGCTGGTCGGGACTCTTATTTATAGGAGACAAAACCCAACATAAATAGCTCATGGGGAGAAAAAGAGAGAGAGAATTTCTAGGCTCACATAACTGAAAAGGCCATCTAAAAATGCTTCAGGTATGGCTAGGTCAAAGGGCTCAAATATCAGTACACAATCTCTCTCCTGCTTCACCCCTCATCTTTTAGCTCCACTTTTTTCTATTTAGTAGCATCATTCTCACCAGATTCTCCGTGAAGTCATTGTTGGCAGACCTGGGCCTATAGCCAATAGCTCAGCAACCTCAGCAGAAAATGACTTTCTCTTTTTTTAATATATTTAGGACAATTCCCAAGTCAGGCCTCCATTGACCTGGTCAGGGTCACATTTCCATCTCTGCTGGGAGCAACTGCTGGGACCAAGGGGTACAGGGCTTTAATCCTATCCCTAAAACCAGAAGTGAGGTCAATCCAGCTCAGGCTGCATAGACTAAGAGTGGGTTAAGTAAGGACCCCAGAGAAAAATTGGGGTGTTAGTTCATAAGGGGCAATGGGTGCTGGGAGATCAAAAGTAATAGATGTTCCAACAGGGTGATGAGCTGATGACTCTAGCAATGGATGAGATGGAGCCCAGAGTATGATCTGTCCCTCCCTCCCTCGGCTGCAGTGTGTGGTCTCCCCAAGTTCTCCCGGAAGCTGATGGCCCGGATCATCAGTGGACGCCCGGCCCAGAAGGGCACCACTCCCTGGATTGCCATGCTGTCACACCTGAATAAGCAGCCCTTCTGTGGGGGCTCCCTTCTAGGTAAGGAGGAGGTAGGAGGAATGGGGGCCAAGGTTAGGGGATAGGGTGAAAGCTAAGGGATCTGACCCTCTTCTCTGAGACTGACCAAGGTTTCTTCATTGAGAATCATGTCCACACTAGTATCGGGCGTCCACACTAGTATCGGGGCCCACACTAGTAGAAGGAGCCCTTAACTGGAACCAGGAGGCACGTGTTCCTGTTCTGATTCCTTCAGTCAATGTCCACACTAGTATCGGGGCCCATTGTGGTAGAAGGAGCCCTTAACTGGAACCAGGAGGCACGTGTTCCTGTTCTGATTCCTTCAGTCAACAAACACCTGCTGAATCCTGGCCAGTGTCAGGCACTGGAAAGGACTAGTCTGGAGTAAGACTCTCAACACAACACAAGGATTACAACACAAGGCCCTTATCTGTGGCTGAAAGGCAGGCTGTGCCAGGGCTGTGGGATCAAGGAGAATCAGGAAACTCACCCTGGGGAAGTCAGGGAAGGTAGAGTTACAAAGGCCTTGAATGCTGTGCTTAGGAATTTAGATCTTACCCTGA